CACACTGGTTCTTACAATCTATCTCCTCTTCTGCACAGCTCCTTGAGCCCTGAGGGAATTTGATTAAATCATTCCCTTTAGGACTGAGTGATCCAAAGGTCTCAATCTCTGCACATTGTCTAGTTGTGGGTGTCTATACTAGTTCCCATATACTGCAAGAGGAGCTTCTCTGATGATGGCTGAGCTGGGGGAGACACTGATCTATGGGTATAGCAGAAGGTCATTAGGAGTCATTTTGCTAAGTTCCTTTTGAAGAACGCTATTATTTGGTTTTCCCTTAGGTCCATGGCCTATCTAGTCTCAGGTTTAATGACCTGATTTTAATTTAATTACCCTGATAAAGACCCTACTTTGAAATAAGGTCATATTGAGAGCTGAATGTATGAATTTTAGGGGAGACATATCCCATAGCAGTATCACAGCTATAAGCCGTCCCCGACATTCTCATAGAACACCATTATGCAGCTCTACTGGATGCTCCTTAGATGGGTTTTGTTTTCATCTTACATACAGACAGACTAACCTATTAAAATCAGTCAAGCAGTGTTCGGCTGTAAATGGGACATGGGGCATCTACCTGACTATCACCCTTTCCATCTCCTAGGGCTCAGGGAACACCACCAAAGAAGGGACAGAAAGAATTTGACCAGATAGAAGTTTTTTGAAATGCTGTTTACTGAACTTGACATAGTTGCCACAACCCTTAACTCACAGCAGCAGTGGCTATCTGCAACAGAACCGGGCCCATCAACGTTCCACCGTTCCACCGGGAATGAAGAAGGGCTTCATTAGACCCCACCCTTCCTTGAGGAGCCAAGGAAAGCTAATTATTGCTGGGGGAGGAGTCAAATAACTCCCAGCTATGCTCATACAAGCAATAACTAAATGCAGCACTACAAAAAGAAAAAGACATGGAAGTAGGGGGACTTGTTGGGAAGAATGGGTTTGATGGGAGGAGGGATACAAGATTGGCAGGGTATGATCAAAGTATTTAAAAATCAGTCCAACTTCATTAAGTAGTTGCATTCTCCCCTGCTGCTCCTTCCTAAAAGTCTTATTAACTTAAAACTATGATTACAAACACTTCAGGTGTCAAAACTCACAGGTGCTGCAGATGATTGGGCATCCTAACTTTGGAAAACAGAAGTCCTCAGGCTGTCACTTCGACCTGCATTTATTATAGCACAGGTATTTGGTACCAGTAACTTCGACTTACATTCATATTTATCTCCACAACTGGGTTGTATGCTCTGATGATGCAAATTCACAGCTGTCATCTCAAAGGGAGTAAGCATATATTCTTACCAAAATGTGAGTGATCATGGCTCAGCAACACAGAAGCAGGATGCCAAACACCACGTTCTACTATGGTAACACCAAACACCATCTTCCAATATACTAACAGTTTCATGAAGTTATTGTAGTAGGAGAACAAAGAAAGTCATGAGTTACTTTTAAAGCATCTTGTTGGCAGGCACAAGAAAACAGGGGCATGCTACTGTAAGCCTCAGATGTTATCAAATGACATTCTTAGCTTTTCAGATGGGAGAAGCTAAAAGTCTGTACATTCCCAAAAAAGGTCTGACCTGACAGTCTAGAGGTGAGCAATGAATGGCCATTGAGAAGGCTGAAGATGGACAAGGATAATTTGCCTCTGGACCTGTAACATGCTCTATAATCATTTAAATTCTACTCAGTTAGTCAGCTTTCTAGAACTGTGAACACAGGCATGCCCTGCCCCGAACTTCAAGTCACAGCTCTGTGAGGAAATGGCCCATTGTAACGTTTTTACTATTATGTGTTCAGGGCTTCGAACAAATAGATGGCAAATATACTTTCTTTTAGCCAAGACTGATACTATAGGACTATAATCCCAGACAGGAGTAGTCCAAGTTCAAGTCCAGCCTCCTAGGCGGGCCAAGGTCAAGGCAATCCTAGGTTCATTTAGTGAGAGCCAAATTAAATTAAAAATCAGACTGTGGACATAGCTCAGGGGTAGATCACATAGGTTCAATCCCCACCACCACAAAACAAGTGGAAAACTTTCCTTACTTGTAATATCACAGACTTCAAGAAATAAGCTATGAACAGGAAATCAAAGCCACAACCCCATCAGATTTCTTCTGTATATCCTGGGAGATTCAGTGGTATGGAGTTAATCAATAACCACCTGACCCCATCCTGGGAGCTCTAGGATGTGGAATAGCTTCTTAAGGGATCTCGATGAATGTGAGTCATAAGCATAGGAAGCTATTTCTAGGGAAGGCCAGAGTGGGGAGTGGGTACAGAATTCCTTACTTTTGTTGACCTGCAACACTCTTCTGTGTATTAGGTAGTGAAGAATTTACAAGTGAAGAAATTTTAACATTGGTGAGAAAAGAATAAACGTTCGGTCTGTTGAGCTCCTTTTACCACACATAGGGATGTATCCATGTGCTGTGAGGAGTCAGTGAGCATGTCACGGGTTAAAGAGACATGCTTCCTGAACCAAAACAATCCCTGCAGCAGTTGCAGCAAAGGGAGGCCTTCCAACAAACCACTTGGACATCTCTAGCCTGTCTGCTCAATGGGTGACGCCTATAGGGAAGTCCCTGCATTATCAACTAAGATGGGAACTCTGGGCTTTAAAATGCCAGCAGAACCTGTTCACAGAGCTAGCATTCACACTGGACTTCATGGTACCACGGGCGCTGAATGTGGGGAGCACCCTGCAAGCCCAGCAAGGCTGAAGCAAGATCACCAGGTCAATGTCAGCTGCTATGGGATGGTCTGTATGTCAAATGTGTTGCTGATTGGTCAATAAATAAATCACTGATTGGCCCGTGGCCAGGCAGGAAGTATAGGCGGGACAAGGAGGAGAATAGAGCTGGGAAGTAGAAGGCTGAGTCAGGGAGACACTGCCAGCCGCCACGATGAGAAACAGCATGTGAAGATGCCGGTAAGCCACGAGCCACGTGGCAAGGTATAGATTAATGGAGATGGATTAATTTGAGCTGTAAGAACAGTTAGTAAGAAGCCTGCCACGGCCATACAGTTTGTAACCAAAATGTCTCTGTGTTTACTTGGTCAGGTCTGAGCGGTTGTGGGACTGGCAGGTGAGAGAGATTTGTCCTGACTGTGGGCCAGGCAGGAAAACTTTAGCTACAGTCAGCCTGAGTTAGAGTCAGACTGTTTAAAGACTAAGCTTATTCCCTAACTGCAGCCCATTTTGTATTTCATATTTTGATTAACTAGTATTTTAGCAAAGTAAAATTTTTCTTGACTATCCAAAACTTAGAAATACGCCTAAAAGACAATGATATTTTTTCAAGGTCACATTAAGACACTATCAAGTTCACTTTAAGACGGTCTTTCAATATGCACATAATTTTCTTTTAATTATTACTATCAGTTAGGCCCTAGAGTCTATAAAGTTACATACACACAGATACACAGACACAGACACACACACACAGCTTTGCATCAGCTTCATCACCTGTTTGTTAATTACTGGGTTTATTTTTTCAGTCTTATGTAGCCCAGGCTGGCCTCCAATCAACATCCTCCTGCTTCAGACTCCTGAGTACTGTTGCTACAGAGTGTGGGACAATTGATGGCTAAATAAGTTTTTGACAAGTGCTCACTGGATACATACAATAATGATTTATTATTGTTATTTGTTGTTGTTTTTGAGACAGAGTCTCATGTAGCCCAAGTTCACTTTGAATTCCTAATCCTTTTACCCCCATCCCCCATCCATGTGATAGGATTACAGGCTTATGTTACCAAGCCCAATGAGAGTTAAATTGTTAACTTGTAAAAATTAAACTGACACCAGGAGTCTCCTGTTGAGAAAACAAATGCAACCAACCAATCAACCAACCGAACAAACCCCAAATCTTTCCTACAAAGCATAGGAATTCCTCATAAGTTTACAGCAGTGACCAAAACCCAACATTTTTAAGATATTAAGAAAAGTAGCGGGGGGTGGTGGGGGGGGGGGGGGGTGGCGGCGGCCGCCTTTAATCCCAGCACTCGGGAGGCAGAGGCAGGTGGATCTCTGTGAGTTCAAGGCCAGCCTGGTCTACAGAGTGAGATCCAGGAAAGACGCAAAGCTACACAGAGAAACCCTGTCTCAAAAAAAAAAAAAAAAAAAGGTAGACTTTATGTGAAGTAACCCACAAGTCTGTGAGGTCAATTTCTCTGCTTCACTGGCTACCCATGAGAATTGGGCTTTGCTTCTCTCCCTGTCTGCCATAATAGATTGAATCCTAAAACTATGCAGAAGAAATTCAGTCTTCCTGTTAGTTGTTTCTCAGGTATTGGGTCATGCTACACAAAAGTAATTAATACAGTAACTGTTGACACAAAGTTCTTATCACCCTATGTATTTAGGGATCTTTCCTAACATTCTCAAAGAATCTGGGGAAGGGTAGCATTAAAAACCACTAGTAAAAGGGATCTAAATAATGAACATAGTATTTTCAGTCTATTCATTAAACTGCATCAATTGCTTTATGGGAATGTAGGCACAAAATACAGGCATCCTCTTCCATGCTTTCCTGCTCCCCAGGTTCCCCTGGTTTAAATGGACCTTCTACTTAGCCAGCTGTTTGGATCAAAGAGGCAAACTGGCTACCTTTGGGCTAGTGAATTTCTCTAGGGAACAAGGAATTGTTTCTAAGAATCCAACAATGATCTGACTTTTCCCTTATACAAAGAAATATAAGAACTATTAGACTTTGGAATCATAGCTGCCATGTGGACAAGAAAACAAGAGTCAAGTTCAATGGAAGATTAAAAAAGAGGGGCAGAAGGAAGGTAAGTCCTGGTTGTTCACAATCTTCCAGTATTTGGCCTGAGAGTTGTGGAACTGAGTTGTTTCTTACCTTGGGTTCTATGAGCCTCTACCATATCACCATCATAATAAAATCCCTGTTAGTTTACCTGGATTCCTAGCATTTACAACCAAAAAAGCTATCAAACTACACCCTATCTTCAAAAGAAAACACAGGCTACACTTGATATTGGAAAAGTATTTATTATGACAAAAATAAAACTGTGGACTGAAAACAAATGGATGTTATGCTATATTGCACCATGATTGCAAATGAGCCAAAAACCTGTCTAAAGATTAACATTCCAGAGCAAACTGCATCTTTTTACTTGGGTAAGTCGGCATGCACACAATTCATTAGAACATAATTGCAGAAATAAAAAATCATGAGCATGACCTAACATATAAAAGAAGCATTTCATGATAGTGAAAAGTATTAAAATCCAAAACCCATGTCTTTTCAACAACCTCACAATCAAACAAGCTTGGAACCATTTGTGGGGCGTGACAGTGTGAAATGCATTTGGCATTTGCTTTTACATTTTCTTGGTTATCACTTAAGTATGAGAGCAATGGCACAGATTTCAGTTGCTTGTTGAGGGTTCAGAAGCAGTGTGTGGTATGGACAACATTGTTTCCTCTTGTATAAACACCAGACTGTCCACAAAGAGATGGGATCCTACCTTGATCTTATTAATAATATCTTCTATTGAACTGGACTGCTTGGTAAAGATATTGTCAGAACACTTGCACAAAGCCTGAGATGTAACCAATAGCAATTTATATTTAATTCTTATGAAATGAACATACATGTACATTTAAAGAGTTTTACAATCTGAGCTAGAAGTATAATGAGTACAGGGTTTACTTTCTCTTTAATATTATAAAGCACCAAGTTATGTGTGAAGATGACAATGTGTAATTACAACCATTACACTCCCTTTAGAATAAACGGAACAGCAAGGCTATAACTGCCAGGAATTTGCTTTCCTTATTTTAAACTACATTCTGTGGAACAGTCGAGAATGGGGAAATAGAAAACTATCTCATAATTGGAAAGGCCATAGCCATCATTTTATTTCACAATTTCAATGAAACAGCAGCTAAACTTTTTTCAAAACCAAGATGACAAATGTTCATGACTAGACTGAAAGTTTACTCCAAGAGAATCCACAGGGGCCTCAGAGTTCCTGAATTTCCTGAGGGAAAATTTATGTGAAAATGATTAGTTTCTCATTACTACAGCTAAAACATGCCAATAAATCATGAACTACTGGGATCAAATCATTTGCTGTCCTAGCACACTGATAGTCATAGTCTATCATCACTGATCAAATTACAGGACTTTCCTTAACTAATTATTGTCTGAGTGCTTGCTCAAGTGCACTGACTAAAAGGATACCTGTTCACCCTGCTGCTGAGAAACAAAGAACAAAACCATAGCCCCACCTAGCACTTGCTTCAGCTGGGAGTCCTGCATATTCAAAGCCATTTGGGTGAAGGGGGATTTATGGCACTGTACAACATCCCAGACACTTAAAGCACCTTGAGAACTAAAAAATGAGGTAATTATTAAAATTAAAATTTGGTAAGTTGTGCAAGAAAACATTTTCATTCTTTTAGAAATTTCATTTGCTATATTCAGTCTACAAACAGCACATATTATATTTCTCCACTCCAGGAGAAAATGCAGAGAATTAGTTTTAAAAAAAAAATCAAGATGCCTCTGTGTGATTAAAGTTCCAGATTCTAAGCCAGAATGCTAGCCAGTCTCAGGCTTTCCAGCCATGGTAAATACAATGTAGAGTATCTACTTCTCCCATGTTGCCAGAATTAAATGCAAAAAAAGGGGGAAAAATCCATACTCTTGCATCCATATTCTCTTACCTAATTTTAGATGATTTTACTACACCAAGTTCATCTAATTTTGAATTTGTTTCTAGGAATACTTCTAAGCTTCCAAATAAACATTTAAGCATTTCACCAAATATAAAGGTGATTTTAGGTCCAACTGAACACTTTTTTTCGTACTTTAAAATGAAATAATAGAACTCCTTCCCCCTTTCTATTGGACTCTATTCTTAAAATATACCTTTCTTTTAAAGCCTGGCTCTTGGGTTTCAGTCTTCACACTAATATTAAATGAATAGAGATGAGATGACAGTGAAAACTGCTGACCTTAAACATCAGCCATTTTCACACTTAAGAGGACTTAAGTCTGTAACATACTGATGCCCTGGTCCATGCTACTCTTTCAGTACTGGAAAGTGTTTGGGATGCCTTAAGGAAACAAACAGAACAAGCTAACCACTTCCATCGAGTCAGCAAAGGCAGAAAAATAAGGTATGTTCTCTATAAGAGGGTATCCAACACACACGGGTGCTATTTCTAAGTAACCCAATGCCATTTTCTGATGAATATGGCTTCTCTTTTGCATTGTCATTAGCTAGAAGTTCAGTTTAAGCTGAAGGAGCGTTATTAAGTTATACTTTGTTCCTACCTGATTGTATACACATACTAGAGGAAGTGATACTGGGAGGGGGAATCAAACAAAAAATAAAACGACTTAAATGTGATACTACAAGCATTTCTCCATTATTTTAGATTTAAAAAAATAGTAATAGTATGTAAGGCTTTAGAATATTAAAAACAGAATACATAGCTGAGACTTAGCTTCCTTAAAGGCTCTTCAGTTTGGGAAGAATAAAAAGAAGGCCACGAACAAGAGTGGCTTAGGTCAACTAGACACATGATAAATGGGCAGATTGGGATCAGAATCCACTTCTTTAGACAGCCAGTGCAATGTTTGGCTAGATACAGGACAGGAAGATATATCTTGAGGTGACCCACTGACAGAAGATTAAAGGACCTTTAAAACTAAAGTTTAGGTGTGTGAGGATCTTGTTCCAGGGCCACAGATAAAAAGTTAACCCATAAAGTTGGCCTCTAGAGATAAGTGCCAATAAAACTCCATCATGGAGAGGAAAACCCCTGTTTGCTTGCTAATGTATGCTTTACACAGTGAAGGATTAAATGAATGCCCTTGGAAATAATTCTGCTTAGAATTTGTTCTGAGATACAACATCAAAGACTTAAAAAGTTTTATCTTCTTCAAAAATTTCTTCATGGCCAGACTTGCCAGCATCAAAGACTATTGTTTTTAGCATTGTCTGTACCCTTCATTGTTCCCACAGGAAAATAACTGGTTTCTCTCTATGCTACAATGAAAGTTAAATTACATTTAATTAAATACCTATGGCAATCCTGGCACTGGGGATGCAGAGGCAGGAGCTTTTACTATGGGAGTTATTTAAATCTGTTTTTAAAAGAATGAAATGTACATACTGTTTCTCTAGTGAATATGGAATAAAAGTACTATCCCTTTAAGAATGTTAACACAAGAACCTAAAAGCATATGTTATATATTCAATCCTCAGTTTTCAATAGATTATATATATATATTAATATTTCCAGTTTTAAGAAATTAAATCACATTAACAATAAAAACACTTAGTGCATTCCCTTACAGAAGCGAGTGCTACTTCAACAGTGATTCCCACATGTGCTCAGGGCAGAAAATGGCACACTTGATTCGCAAGGGTAGGTTTTTTTTCTCTTTTTTCCTTTTCTTTCTTTTTTTTTTTTTTGCATTTTTAACTAACATATTGAATAGATTTCATATAAGCTTAATTTCTTCATTTTTGAATTAAAAATACAAGATTAATTTCTGAAATTAACATGTGGAGACAAAGGAGAATGTGAGATACAAATCACTCCCCTCCATCTCATCAGCTGTTAATGTGACCTCTAAAGAATAATGTAAAAAACTGAGAACTCATCTCAAAACAACAAAGGCACCATCACAATTTTACATTTTTTCAGCAAATAATATTTTACGGCCATTTGATTTTACAGTGACCATTCAAGTCAAATGCTTTAGCATCATATACTTGTTTGGGTCCAAACATTCTCTTGGAGTAAAAGATAACTAGTTTCGGGCTGCTGTAAACCAAAAGACTGACAAAAGCCTCTAACTTTTTAATGAACCCTATCCTAATCAATGGCACAATGTCTACTTGAATACTGATTTCATATTGAGATGCCTAACAGACGTTGCTTCTAATCCAAACTAATCATATGCTTTTAAAAAAGGGTGTAGAAGTAAAATAAACTGTACTTTTCACAATTCAATAGCAAATCTGCATCTATACTAGTAGCTGTTTGACAAAATATAATCAACTATTAAAAACACTTTCAATATAATGCTGATGTGGTAATATAAAAATAACCATATTATCTGATAGAAGAAAATTGAACCAGCCAATCTTATCAGATATAAGGAGGCAAATAATTATTTCATAAGAAGAAATACTGGGGCATTAAATATGTTTTATCTCAAGACAGATTTATGAGAATTTTTTTATATTTATGGTAAACAATATAACGAAGTAAAGTTCAGGCAAAGTGTGCTTTAGGTAATTAGTATTTTCTTAGTTCCCACTCCCCACCCAACAAACACCATCCACACTGATTTATATCTGCTTTTCTCTCTCACCTTTGATTATGAGTTATATTTAAAACACACAAGAAAATTAAACTTACCCTCTACTTGGCATAGAATCACTAAGAAAAAGATTCAAAGTTTAAACGATTTCCCACAGCCCAGAATACTTTTCCTCTGGCCACTTTCTCAGATCAAGGGTGCAAACACTAAATAAAAACATCATCAGGTTCAACTAAATTAACTAAATAAAACAAACGAGTACACCTGAAAAGAGAGCAAAGTTTAAGGCAACTTACATACAAAAAATCTGAAATTAAAATACCAATTTCGAACAGGTATTTATGAATACTAAAGCTTATTTTGATCCAAATAAAAAATACTGCAAATGAGGAACTGTCCCTAAGTACACATTATATCCCTTTCATACAGCAAATGACACCCGTGAAAGAGACGGGTAATGACAACACTTGTCCCCTTTTTTCTTAAGGGTTCACTCTTACTTCCACCTTAGACAACTGCCTTGGGAACCGTTAACACCACCCAGCAAGCCTGATGCATTAGGCCCTTTTCCTCCATTTTTGTAGTCAATAAAAGCATTTGTGTTGCTAAGTATATGACAGCCTGGTCGACCTAGTGAGTTCCAGGCCAAGGATTCCTTAAAGAAACCATGTCTCAAAAAAACAACCAAACAAGAAAGAATATGAGCATTGAGTCTTATAGGAATATTCTAAAAGCTAGGGTTAGATTCAGCAGTACCCTAGAAGATTTTAGGACACAAAGTCTACCTACAGAGAGAGAGAGAGAGAGAGAGAGAGAGAGAGAGAGAGAGAGAGAGAGAGAGAGAGAGAGAGAGAGAGAGAGAGTATGTGAGACAGCAACTGTCTGAAGCCTCTTTCACATCACCCTCAGCCAGATTTAAAGACAAGCCATGTTATTTTGCCTTTCAGTAACACACTGCTGGTGATAAAGATGCTCTGACAGATACTACTGCAAACCCAAGAAATAAAAAGGATTGTTCACACTTTGGCTGCTGCCCAAAGCAGGTATGGTATCTCTGACAAAATAGCTGAAGTTTTTGCTGACAATAAAACAGGTAGCAAACTGATAGAAAAACATATTCCAAATGTCCTAGCTTAATTTCATGTTGGTGAGTTTTACTAAATTCTGATAGTTATATACACAGTGAAAATCTTAAGCTATCAAATGGAGCCAATAATATTTCCCATTGAAGCTGGCTTTCAAATTCATGCTTCACCAAGTGTTTTTAACCAAATATTGTTGGCAGAAAAGTGAACTTAGTTCCTTACATAAATAGATGGACTACTTAATTCCCATGCAAAGAGCAACTTAAAATTAAACTATGATATGCAATGAAGGAAATTTAAAGGCAAGTATTCATGATGTTTACTCTTGCACGCACACACACACACACACACACACACGCGCGCACACACACAGCTTCTAGGTAATTTCATCATTGTAATTAACCTGTCCAAAGATAAAAAGGGTTTGAAGAGAACAAATGTTTAGCACTGAAGAAGTAGTACATGACGATTCCTACTACTGCTCTGTCAAACCACTAAGAACCTGGGAAGAAGGGAGCAGTGGCCAAGAAGTAAAAGAAACGGGATGTAAAGGACATAACAATATTTCAGATAACATGAAATATATGACAAACAGTGTTTACAAGGCAGTCACTAATAATTAGAATAAGCAGTCAGAAGAGTTCTGTTGCTGCAAACATCGTTAGTTACACATTATGTTCATCCGACTGAAGATTAGTGCATCTGAAACAAAGGGAAGAAAACATCTTTATGTTCCAGTACAGCGGCACTTGATTCAAGTGTTGCTCAGAGGTTTGTGTTGTTATAAATTAAACATGCTGCTGCCTCAGCAGCCAAAGGTATTAGGAAAAATGTTCGTGTCACGGAATAAATAGAGAAGTCTTTTTCAAGCAAAAAATTATCTCACACCAATCCTGGAGGTCATCCACTCTAGACCTTGGCATAACCTAAACAAAAGACAGAAGTATTTTATAATTAGAAACTTTCTGCTGAAAGATTGAAGCTATACTTATTAAGTCTTACCTAAAGGTTCTCATTACAGTCAAATGCTATTTACAGATATTGGTGACAACCTTTTTTTTTTTTTTTTAATCTCCCAAGGAACAGGGTCTCATGCATCCCAGGCTAGCCTCAAATTCTCTATGTAGAAAGGATGAACTTAATTAAACTTCTGATCCTGCTGCCTCAATCCCACCTCCAAGCGTTGAGATTACAGACATATGACGCCATACTCAGTATATGCAGTAATGCGGACAGAACCCAGGGCTGCAGTCTACCAACTGAGTCAGATCTCCAGCCTCTGTCAAGGACAGCTTTCAAATAATGTTCTAAGTGAAATTTTAATAGAAGTGCCACTTAAATAAAATGATCTTACTATTTAAACAAAGTGGCAAACTGCTCTGGTCTCATCTCAAGTTTGTCCATTTTTCCATCGAAGTTGTAAATACCACATCCACTCCACCCCTTTAAAACGAGCTGAAATCACTATGAAAAACAGCAGAAACTTCTACTTATTCATCCAATTTCTAAAGAATGAAAGCGTATAGTCTACACCTAGCTCTTACATTGCCAAGAATTTTGAGTTAAGAAAAACTAAGTAATCAGGTTGATATGAGGGTCCTAGGCATAAACTAGGTAATAATACAAGGCACACTGGCTTCTCCTTGGCATAATATCTCCACTCAACGTTCCTAGGAAAGCAAGAATACACTATAATGGCATTTGTCAAATGTTTACTGTCTAGAAGTATGTCTCCTGAAGGACTCTTGATAATACAGGAGATACATTCTTGGAGAAGACTGGCTCAGTTAAGTCCTTTTGGAAAATGTGTAATTCCTTTAGAGCTTTCTCTTTAACTCAGGTGACACTGCAGTTTTTGCTTAGTAAATAAATGATGAAAACAACAGATGAGCAAAATTCCTGAATTCTAAACATTTAATCCCAAAGCTGCTTATGCTTTTGAGAAGACAGCATTTATTTTTAAAAATATGAAGAACTTTGTTGGTAAACTATTCACTAGAAGTATTTCCAACTGCTAAGCCTGAGAAACAATATACAAACCATTTTTAAGAGAAACAATAAAGGGAACGAGGACCAGGAAGTTAAGAAGTTGTCCTAGAACTGTGAAATGACCTTCTAAGCAGCCCCAAGAGCACCTACCCTTCTCCTGTTAGTGCACAGCATGACTGGATGTGCCACGGGTGGTCCTTAATTGAACTAAGGGTGAGGTATTTGGAGATTTCTGCTGCCGTCATGCACCCTTTCATATCCTGTTTATTTGCAAAGATGAGAACTGCAGCTTTCCTTAAATCCTGCAATTGACACAAAATATTGAAATGCCAAACTTGAGAACAATCAGGAATCAAATTACTATGTGAACTATCATAAAACAAATTAAACTATGAAGTGAGAGTGTAAGACATACCCTGCTAACTATATTAAAACACTTCTATTTGCGAAAAATCTTATGGAAACATTTAATTGTAAAATAATCACATTTTAATGATTCATTCTAATAAAGTATATGTGTAAGTCAGATAAATAAGTTATTTTTCTATTTTGGGACGAAAATGGGCAAGTTGAAAAGAAAATAAACCTCAGGTTAAACACTAACTTAGCATTGTGTGATACTCTATGCAGGTGAGAACAAGGTAAACTTATTAGCCTTTACAGAACTTAAACTCACGGAACAGTGCTCACTGTGGCTTTTTTTTTTTTTAAGCAAAACAATATGACATAACCTAACAAAACAGATCAACTGTGACAGACAGTGAAACAGTATCACTTCTGAAAGCAATGAACTTCAGCTATGGGCATATTCTTTAGCTATGCACATATTAACATAGTGAAATCTCATGTTTACAGTGTTGGTGGGGTGAATACCAGTACAGTCACTATGGTAGAGAGTGTGGAGTTCCCACAAAATACAAGAAATATAATACCATATGACCCAGTTATACCACTACTGGGTGTATACCTCAAGAACTCTTAAGCCAATAGGCCACAGAGATACAAGCACATCCATTTTTATTGCTGCACTAATTATTAAAAGCACAAAATGGAAGTGGTCTAGACGTCCATCAGTAACTGAATACAGAAAATGTGGTACATACACAATGAAAATTTTCAGCAATGAAGAAAAATGAAATCCGACTTTTTAAAGTACGTGGATGAAACTGAAGATTATAAGAGAAATAAACCAGACTAAGAAAGACAAGCGTATTTTCTCTCATATATGTATTCTAGTTCTAAACTGGTGTGTGTGTGTGTGTGTGTGTGTGTGTGTGTGTGTGTGTGTGTGTGTGTGTACACAGGAGGGTATTAAGGAAGAGATCTTAGGGGAGAAGAAAGGGAGGGAATTCATGTGGCCTGAAAGCAGGAGGACAATTTGAAGAGGACTAAGGGGACCAGCAACAGAATGCAAGGGCACAGAACCAACTCACTGGGACTCATGGGGGCTCGCAGAGATCAGGGAGCCTGTAGAGGTCTGACATAGGTCCTCTGCATTTGTTAGGCTGAGTAGCTTGGTGTTCTGGTGGGATTCACAAGAGTGGGAGCAGGGGCTGTCTTCGACTCTTGCCTACTTGTGGGATCCTTTTCTCCTACTGGGGTCTCGTCCAGCCCTGATGTGATGGTATGTGTCTAATCTTATCGTAGCATGTCATGCTGTGTTTGGTTGATGTCCCTGGGAAGCCTGCTCTTTTTTGAAGAGAAACAGGGGTAGATCTGGGGGAAGGGAGAAGTGAGGAGAGAGACTTGGGAGAGAGGAAACTGCAGTCAGGATGTAACATAAGAGAGAAGAAAAAACAGGCCTGTGCCACCAGTACTCATGAGGTAGAGGCAGACAGATCTCTGAGTTCATGACCAGCCTGGTTTGCAGAGCTAGTTTCAGGACTGCCAAGGCTACACAGGGAAACCCTGTCTTGAAAAATAAAAATAAAAATAAAGGGGGTATGTGTGTCAACAGCTGATGAAGGCAGGTAGAGGGGCTTAAGAACAAAGTAAAATGACGCACTGTATGAAAATACCATTAATATTACTTTGTATGCCAACTTACAAAATCAAGTTAAAACTCAAATGTGAAAAAAGTACAAGTCACAGAAAGATAACATGGAATTTGGTGTTTTGCACCTACATACAGGAATAATAATCACTACATTAAGATTTGAGATCACCTGAGAAGGAAAGAAAATCAGACTGGAAAGATCTCACAATGCATTTCACACCTTATGTTAAATAGCACGTGCAAGAGTATGTTTTATTGTCATTTTTTAAATCTTAAATATTTATAATCAAGCTACCTCAATTTATTCTTTGAAGTTATGTTAAACTCTTGGCTAAAAGACATTTAAGTTTTGTTGCCCTCTCCACACTCCTAATCTCAATTTATCAATTTTTTTAAAGCACAAATCAGTAGTTTTAATTCTAAAAAAAAAAAAAAAAAACAGTTTTTAATAGTTATAGCAAACAAATCAACAGGCTTGAAATATAATGCTATTTTGATTCAACTTAATATACAAAGTTTTGCTTATGATGAAATGACCAACACTGTTTCACATTAATGTTTGCATAAAACAAAACCAGTACATAGATAACTTATTTCATGTTTTAAAGACTTGCTTTCAAAATTTACCTCATGAGCCAACATTCTGTATAATTCTTCTTTTGTGATAGCCAGTCGTTCCCTGTCAATGCTATCGACAACAAGAATGATGAACTAGAAGGCAAGTTTAAGATAAAGGAGGAAAATTAGCAGCACGTTCGGTTTTCTGCAGAATCATTGCAGTGACATTAGGTCTCACTTGGCATCCTCACTAGAGCGTCTCCATCAGAGGGAGCTTCACAAAGAAGCACAGCAAGCAGGAAATCCAGATGCTAGCAAGAAAGCAACCTGCAGCTTCAGCAACTAAAAAGCAAGACCAACCTAACTTTTTAAAGCTCCTGATTGTGGGTAATAAAAAGTAATATTTATAGCAAAACTGGAATTTAATACTTTCATTAAAGTTCAAAGTCTTCATTCTACCAACCATTTACACCAATGGGGGGGGGAGCAAATGACCCTTTCACAGGAGGTGCATATCAGATATTTACATTACAATTCATAACAGTAGCAAAATTGCAGTTATGAAGCAGCAATAAAATAATTTGGTTGGGAGTCACCATAACATGAAGAACTGTATTGAAGGGCTGCAGCATCAGGAAGGTTGAGAACCACTGAATTTCAGACAATTAATAATCAATTACTTCTTTATGTATAAAGTCTTTTGCCTATTAAAGAAAGAGTTAATTTGACAGAAAAAGCGTGTTTTTCAAAAATAACAAATAAGACATTTTTTACAGAAGGAATTTAAGCAATAATAGCTCAAGAAGAAAGTGTGCTGAACTGTGCTAAGTTACATGCACTGACGTTAATATGCTAAGATGTAGGTGATATATAGAAAAAGGCAGGAAACTGGAGAATCTCTGTGCATCTTTGTGTTGGGGTGGGAGACAGGGATAGGGGTGTGTGTGTGTGTGTGTGTGTCTAAAGTAGGCATTAAACATTAAAAATACAAGCAAATAAAAACCTAAATAAAAGCAACTTTGTGAATTACAAACAAGAAAATAGTGAAAAAGAGCTACTAAACCAAATAATGTGCAAGAGAGAGTGTTAAAAACTCAGGGGAAACAGTGTCATCTCTCTTATAGAACAGGAGAGTAATAAAAACCACGTTACAATAGAGGGGCTGACAGCAACTTACAAAATAGCCACCTATAGTAATCTCAATACAAACTAGAAGGACTTAGAAAGGGACAAAAGGAACTGAGCATGGCATAGAACGGCAGACGATTGGCAAGTAACTGGGTTAATGAAAGGAAGCTATCAGGAATTAAGGCCTGGAACTCCTTACATTACAATGGAGATATTCACTTTGGGAGGCCATCTCAAAGCAAAGAATTTTCTCAGTGCAAGCCTACAGGGGTGAACAAAGTGATGAGTGAAACATCACCTCATAAAATCTTTTCCTGGAATCTAAGTCTGCTAATGTAACAGACCATGCTGGTGTGTTGCAGTAAATTCTTTGTGGTAACTGAAATATACTTGTAGCCATGGTTCACAAAAAGAACATTTATTGCTAATAGCATCAGTAATGAGATATCTCTGTTTGGACCCAGGTTAAGCCTTGATTGTCAGCAATTTCAAAAACTACCCCCTTAAAGTGCTTTAAGTGCACTCAGCTTGAGTCATCTTTAACCTATTTATGTATAAGAACTGCCTTTCTTCACAGCTGGAGTCAACTGTAGGCTTTGACAATGAACTTTAAAAAGGACCTGTTACCTGAGTATATTAAAACGCTGTTATTCTCCAGTAGTATTTTACTATACACGTATATTCAGCAGCCTTAAAACCCTATTTGCGGGCGGTGGTGGCACACGCCTTTAATCTCAGCACTCGGGAGGCAGAGGCAGGCGGATCTCTGTGAGTTCGAGGCCAGCCTGGGCTACAGAGTGAGTTCCAGGACAGGCTCCAAAAGCTACACAGAGAAACCCTGTCTCAAAAAACCAAAAACAACAACAACAACAAAAACACTACCATATTTACTTACCAGCTACTTCTGTGCTGCCCAGTCCCCATGAAGAAGATAGTTCAGTGCCATTACAAGTGTTACATACTGGCAACATGCCATTTTGGCTCCTGTACTACGCTGGACTAACACACACCGAAAACTGTATTAGTAAACACAGATCCAAAAAGTGTTCTTGTATTTTATTTTACTTTAAAAGGTAACTTGTGTACCAAAAATTCTTTGCTTTATATTCTTTCAGCTCCATTTTTATGTCATTTTAGAAAATATGATTTCTTAGCTTTACCTCCTTACCAAGAAAGCTTATATAATAATAATTATAATAATATTATATAATTATAATAATGGTGTAACTGCACACCATTATTCAAAGTGATAAAAACTAAAAAACCCTGTATAGGCATTAAAACAAATCTGCCTCTAGACAGACATACAAGTGAAGATAATATGGATATATTCCCCAAGCTAATACTGAATTAATAAGTATTTATTAGAAAAAGAAAACAATACCCTGGAAGGCTCCCTGCTTAGAAATTGCTTTGCTGTGACGCTCTGCACACACACTTGTTGCAGAATTTCCCATGCACTGCCCTCTCGGGGCCCACTAGAGACCAACACATTCATCTCTACAGATGATGCTCCCATGTCCCTTAGTCACTCATGTGTGGGCCTACATGACTTCTTCTATAATCATGTCAGCAACAGAACGCTGGGAACCCATTCTCTTGTGCAGTGGAAGTTTGCAGAAGTAAATATTCTCAGGTGGCTTCTCTTGAGTAACTCCTCTATTTACTTTACTTTTAACACAAGCAATTTCTTTCCATGTTGCAAAATACTCAATAAATATATAATAAAAAATTCAGTGTTCTCTGCCTTTTTCTGTCACAGAGGAAAAAGTACAAAAATAACCTCTAAAATGATAGCGATGGCTGGGGATGGCCTGCAAGTCTATTTTTCACATTAATTACATCTGAAGATCTGGGATGTTATTTGAAAAATTATGCTTAAAATATTTTATGCCATCCCTCATCGGATACTTGTGTGAAGCTCTCAGACTGTGGGAAGATTCATTATTCAGCAGTGTCACATTTCTCCAGTCCATGGAGCACTGAGAGCACCACTGTGAGGATGGACTGAGCCAGCCAGAGGAAGAGCTCAGCTGAGAAGGATCTTGGCCATGCATGGTGCTGCATAACTACAGTCCCAGTCGTCTGAAGGCAGAGAATCAAGAGGATTGGTATAAGCTAGCTCCAGGCCAGCCTGATGTGCACAGCAGGTTCTGTCAGCCAGGTACATTTTACATGTATATAACCCATTGACTTTAGTAAAACAGGTTTACTTTCAATGTTTTCATTGACTCTTCCATCCCCTTGTAGGGAAAAACGTAAGCACCCTCTTGGATCTTACTCCTAAACTCCCCTCTGTACAAGTCACCACAGTGAGACACCGCTGTGAATAGAACACAGTCTTTAGCACTCCTTTACCTGCCTTTTTCTTCCACGATGAAATCTGAATTCCTTATTAAAAGCAACTGCTAACATGCCTCATTACAGCCTAGCCACCTTCTATGCTGATTCTTAGAAAAATTTTTTAAATTAAAATTCAAGGGTAATTTTGGCATACCTCTGTGTTTGAATAATAGGTGTTCCAGGATGACCGCAGGGACTCTTGACCACCAATATCCCACATAAGAAAATGAGTGTTCTTCACAACTATTTCTTCAACATTGCTTCCTATGGTTGGAGAAGTATGAACTACTTCATTCATTAAGCTGTTGAAAGACACCATTGAAAACTCTTTTGTAAATCTTGAGAACCCCAAGCACGTTTTATCTTTATGTTTTTAAGAGAAGTCAACCTTTCCTATTTATACCAATCATAATAATCATTAACACAAGAAAGAAAAGCTTGAGACTTCCTGTACAAATAAAGTTGTAAACACAGTTAACCCCTGAAGAATGTTTTCTGCTTTTTAACAAAATGAATTGCAGGCCTAACAGAGATGGGAACACAGTGGTGTGTGTTTGAATGTCTGTGGGCAAAATGCCAATATGACCAGTTACTGTATCAGAACCAATGTTCCATCCTGAAAGTGCAATTTTGGATAACTGAGACAACAATACTTACAAAGTAGCAATAACTCAGTAATATTCTATGCATTCATTTTGCTTAATGTCTATGTAAGCAAGGTGAGAGTTCAGCCCTAAAAACTACTTTAGGCTTACCAACCTATAGCCTTAAGGTCACAGACAAATAGAAATTTTTCTTAAATTGAACTCTATCTAGGATACTGATTCTCATATCACTTGTATTATCTTAGCAATTGCTTAAATACTTTATTCAAAATGCGTATTTGTTGATAACATTCCATGATACACTTATAATTTTCTCTTGAGTTTTATATGTTACGTGTTTGACACTATGTACAAGACTGTTACCAAAGATGAGAAGTTTCAGAGATATTTGAGCTTCATATTAAAGGCTAAATGATATTAAAATACATTTTGGCCAACGAATGAAGACATACTAAAGAAAAATAATGACAACTCTGAAACAATAACATATAAGGAGCCGCCTGTTAGCAAATGTGTCAGTTAGGCATTGGGCAAGTGAGCATCTTTGGCAAACTGAAGGCTAACAATACTGCTTTTTTCCCACCCTCTTCTTTTTGTAGTGCTAACAATTTAGCCCAGTGTCTTGTAGGAAATTGCTCTGCTGAGCTATAAGCCAGCCAGAAACCAATGGGCTTTAAACGCAAGATGAGGAAGGGAAAGGTGAGATCAATATAACAGTGCCAAGTACTGAGTGGCTATTTGTTAAAATGCTCTGGGTATGTAAATCCATTTCCACAGCTTAAATGTCTTTGGCCCTGAAAGAATGGGAAATCCTCAGACAGTGGATTCATGAGGTGTTAACATTTACTGATGATGAGCCTTAATGTATTTCTGAGAATTTCAAGCCTCTCCCTTTTGAAAGCTACTAAAGTAGTATTTTGACGGCCATCACTTCAGACAAGTCTGGCTCTGTTAAACAATCCCAAAGCTCTTAGGGGAGAGCAGCATCCCAGAGACAGAGTTCTATTTACACAGGGCTCCTTCGGGAAGCATTAAGTGAGAGTCATATTATCACCTCACCCCAGGATAATCTGCACTTCAGTTTAGTTTAATATTAAAGTCCATCTTCCTTGGGAAGTCAGAAGGAGAGTACTTGGTGGAGGCTTTAGTGAGCCTAAGACATTTTATTTTACTTTTTTATTTGGTAAAATAGAAAAGGTTGCACGTCTACGCCTAACTGTTGTATTATTAAAACTGGGAAGATTGGTATCTCATTACTTATAAAAACAAAGTTTTTCAACAACTATTAAGTAGGCACCAATACTTACAACTGATAAAGAATGGTGGTTTTCCCTGCATTATCCAGTCCCACAATGATTACTTTGTGCTCTAAAAAAAGAAAACAAGTCACGAACATTTATACTATTGCATGCACGCACTCTACAGTACAGGCTTCCCACAGAGATGATTATAACTGAGACTCATCTATTAAGCACCCACTACTGAAGGATTATAGGAGGAAACTTTATGCAAGTAAGGACCTGCCGTGAGTGAAACAATCCACTACAGTGTTTTCTATAGAGTTTTCCCATAAAGGTGTTTAGACTGGTTAGCTAGAAAAAGAGGCTATGGTCACTTATGAGTGGAGGCAGGGTCGCTCAAATACAAATCTGATATCATGACTTAAACTGTAAGTGTAAAATGTTAGCTCTACACACCTGCTCAATGTCTGGTATTCAAAATGGCTTTAAGTTGTTTTAATATAAGCAAATTTTCCCACCCACATGTACTAACATTTTTGCCTTTCATTTAAAAATGACGTTTACTGCTGAAAGCTGCAATGCTCTTTCCATTAGCAGACAGAATTTTATTTTTCCATTAATTGGCAGAAGTAAAAGCAATTACTTAGCCTTCAATGGTTTTTATTGAAACATGTTTTATGTAATCATTCTAAGTAGATGTTTCTGCTGACACTGTCCAACAAAAGCCTTTCCCCTTCTGATGACAGGCACGAAATAACCATTCTGTTAAAGGCAGTTATTAGGCCTAATTATTCTGTTAAGTGGTACATATTTTGAAATCTGTTTTGAATGTATGATAGAAAATCACCCCACATCTATTCAGAGTATGTTCAAAATTCCTCTCTCTTGGGAAATAGGGGGGTTCAACAAGCCCCCACCATTAGCTGAGAAGTTACTGATAGTTGATGAGTCCTGGGGAGAGGGATATTCAGTTTTCCTTAGGGCGTGGCTCCTGGTAGCCACCCATATTCCAGTGAATGGCCCCACAGGCAAGAATATGTGAGCAGCACCAGGGCTTGGTAGGTGAGGGAGGAGAGAGACAAAAAGACAGGGGTGGGGGGAAGGGAAGAAGGAGATGTGAGGGAAGGAAGAGAAAGGGAGGCAGTTGAGGGGATCTGGGGGTACATGTGAGGAGGAATGGGGAGGAGCTGGGGGAGGAGTGGGAGGCGAATGTGATCAAAAGACATTGTATGACATGTATGACATTTTCCAAGCACAAGATACACATAAAAATCCCCCTCTCTAGCACAAAATGCTTAAGGAGCTGCTAAAGTGCTTCAGCAGGGCAGGGAGGGAAGCTCCCCAGGAAAACGGACAGGAGAGAGGCACTTCTTTTGCTAGCTGCTGCTTCTCACATGCACCACCGAGAGTGAACTCTTCTCTTGCCCTTACCCCCACTTCCTGTCTCTTTCCCTGGCCTTTGGGGATGGGTAGCTGTGGGACCCCCAGGACGGGACCTCTGACTAAAGACTCCAGGGACATTTCTACTCTCACACCAGATTAGAAAATAGTTTAAAGGTTGATGTCAGATATGAGGCAAGAATGTAGGTCCTCTACTATTTAACCACCATTAAATGTGTAACAGTCAGTCTGAAAGACAATGTGATAAGATATGTTTAATTAAAAAGGGGGAAAATGTGTTTCCTCTCTGACCCACATCTTCACCTTGACAAATTTTCTCAAGTTTCCACAAAGACAAATATGCTCAAGAATGACTGCAGAGTTTCGCTAGCAAGACCTTGGAAACACCCAGACATTGGTGGGCAACCACATTTAGCTTACAGATATAAGAAACATTAAATGAGTCTTTTCTATCAAATACTATAAAATGTGTTTATGATAAGGAATTTAAATCTTTGTATCTCCCAGCCTTGACCTTGTAAGACTTTTATGCAGATGTTTTAACGCCCTTCCGATGTGCCCCCAAAGTAAAACCTTTGTTTGCACAAAGGCCCTGCACTTGGATTAGAGTGGCAGACCCTTCCCCTTTATTTCCTTTGCACCAGGGCTTTTAAAGTTAGCTAATTTCAAAAGACCATGAGGCCAGACCCTCAGACAACGGGGAAAAAACAAGGTCCCCACCCCTATCAGAATTAAAACTAAGTGCATATCTCTGAGTGCTTGCTTTCTGAAGTGCACTCTCTTGACGAAGAGGGAAGTTTGGACAGGTGGAGACACTTCAATTGGAATGGTAGTCTCTTCTTTAAGACCCCAAACTTGCTTCTAACAGAGAGGCAATATAACAAAACAGTTTGTAGCCTGAGAAGATGTGGGAGGCCTACCCATTTCTCTGTGGGAAGCCTGCTCCCACTTTTTCCCCAGGGTACTCTTGAGGAGGGAGGAGGGAGAAATATTTAGATAGAGGGGAGAGAAAAAGATAGTAACACATGATAGCCTCAGGAGGGCCTGGATCAATATCCACCAGCCCCTTCTGTCTCTTCCAAAGGGATTTCTATAGGAATGCCAAGGGGTGGAGCAAAAGACCTCCCCCTCGCACAGCTAAGTGCAGACCCTTCCAATCACCTGGTAACCTCGCACGTAGCCAAGCAATCCTCTAATGCAGTCCTGCTGGGTAAAGCAAGCTCAGATTTCACTAGGAAACATCTGTGGGCCTCCACAACTTCTGTGGGTCTCCACAAGAAGAGAGGGATGCAATAATATCTAGCACTATGGTGATATGCTCATTACTTAAGCAAAAAGAACCAGCGTAGCACCAACCTGTAAGCTTAGCACTCAGGAGGTTCCCTAAGTTCAAGACTAGTCTGAGCTACATAAATAAAATGCTGCCTTAAAGTAAACCAAAGAAAAGAGAAATGAGACGCCTATATGATGCTCAATAATGGGAACATTTCACTTTAGAGCTCTGCTTCCAAAGATAAGCTCTAATGAGCATCAAATTACTGCTAATACATTTTTAAAAGCCTTAACAGTGCATCAACCAACAAAAAGACGAAGCACAATTTGTAGACAAGTTGCGATGACAAACTTCTCTGTCTTCCAATGATGTATTTATCAGAAAGAACTATCTGTAGTATATCACAGAACAAGTAGACAGTGGAAAGGCTATTTTCATGTTGACAAAAGCTGCTTCGTAGAACAACAACAGAATGATTATAACTGACTTAATTTCCCTTCTGTGACTGTTGGTTTGAATTCCCTAGCTTCTAATGGAACCAACCTTGATGCACTCCATTGGTTTGCTGTTCCTTAAAAAATAAGAACAAGAGCACTCTTTATCAACAGAGGCACAAACAGACTGCTCGGCACCAAGCATTCTTGATCTTTTTTTTTTTTTTTTTTTTTTTTTTGCCAGGCAAACTTTGTTTATTAAAGCACAAATAAAATATCACCACATTTCAACACAAATAAAATATCACCATATTTTCCCTTTTTTGTCTAATAAAAATAAAAAAGGTATAACTGATATAGAAAACTATATACAATAAGTACAGTAACTATATACAATATATATAAGCAATAAATACATCACCAATGTCTATTCCATTTGCATTTGACAAATTCAGAGAAAATATTTCATTATCTATCCTATTTTGGTGAGTTCAAAATGTACCTAAATCACTTTCTATCCTAACTTGTATTACAAACAGAAAACTGTCTTATGATGTCTTTCATACTTACACACTTAACACCTCTTAGTGAGTTTCTTTTCTGAATTTCTTAAGAAGGAAAACTATAACTATAACTATCTAATCTTCAACTCCCTCAGAGACCCAAGAAGGAAACAATACTACCTAGTAAAACAGGAAGTGAAAACAAGTGACTTCCAAAAAATGAGTTATGACAGAAACAGCCAGCTTCCTGGACAGTCACCTGAGGGGTCTCTGCATACTGGGGCATCCAGCAATTTCCAGAATTTAAAATCCTGAATCATGACAGGACACTGGTGGAATTCAAGTTTATCTAGTACATGGAATACGTGCACTGAATGTGAGGTCGAGCTGTAGGCCATGTGTACATCCTACTTCACAAATGAGTCTGTCAGATACGCTAAGCCTGTAGGCCAAAAATGATGCCCCAGCATTCTTGATCTTTTTAACAGCCTAGCTCTAGAGACCTCGGGTGACTGAAGCAGTGAGAAAACAGCCACTGGAATGGCAGAACCTGGTTGAACAGAACTCCTGCTCAGGGAAGAGAATGGACAGTACCAGCAGATGGTTCACTGTTGAAGCAACTTGTGGGTAACTGCAACTATTTTTAAACCATTTTGTATTATATTTGTACACTGTGAAGATGTGTCTTTGCCAAGGTGCCTTCTGACTGCTTTAATATAGAGCTGAATGGCCAATAGCTAGGTAGAAGAGGATAGGCGGGATTTCTGGGGAGAGAGAGGAAGAGGAGGGGATTTCACCCTCAGACTTGGTCTTGCCTTACTGAGGAAAGGTCACGTGTCAGAATGTAGATTAATAAAAACAGGTTAATTTAAGCTATAAGAACTAGTTGGGAAAAAGCATAAGCTCTTTGATAATTAATAATAAGTTTCCAAGTCATTATTTGGAGGGTGGAGATCCAAAGATAAAGCTTACTACAGGTGAAGATCACAGTATTAAAGGCCTGATATTTACATGCATAAATAATGCATCATTTTGAAATTTGGTCTCCAATTGAACTGAGGGAAAGAGACTGGTGCTGGACAGGGTATAGACTTCAAACACTAAGGTTTTATCTTTCAGATCCCCTTCTCTTCACTTTATAGGGAACTCTGGCAATTAAAACAAAACACATAATTTCAGTCTTTCCTACGCTGGTTCTTTTTGCTTAAGTAATGAGCATATCACCATAGTGCTAGATATTTATTCTTCAGATAAAGTGGCCTAACTACTCATGAAAACTGTCACCAACAACCTAAATTTACACATACGGCCACAGAAAGGATTGTCCTCTGTAAAAGAATGAAGTGATACAGTTTAGTTAAGATCTTAGCTCTGAAGAAGTATCAACACCATCTAGACAACAAGAATGAAAGCAGGCTCAAAGGCCAGCTACTAAAGGCCACGTTCAGAAAGGCCATTTGCCCTGTTACGTAACTGCACCTCTCCCTCCAACTGCCTGCTATGCTTAAGAGATTCT